GGTAATAATCTTCAGTCAAAACAGGTAAGCCTTCTTGGTATTCTAACTTATGATAAGTTAATGTAAAATATGCATATCATAGAGTGTTGTGTCGGTTGCTACATACGGCGTATAAAGATGAAGGTGTGTTATACTTTGTTGTTACTGGTATGGGTTAGGATTGTCATTGCTTATACACTTTTTACAAATGGAGGTGAAGACACCACTTGACTGCACCATCAGATGTGATTTGTACTCTGCTACATGCGCTACATCAAATGCTGACATCAACACCAATAACAATATATCTGTGATAGGCCAATATCGGCTGACAAATTCAGATATGTATTATGTGGGTTCTAAACATCCTAGCGTGATGTCACCCATTGGTGTGTGAACACCTGTTTTGAAGATGAGAGATTCGAGATTTGATCAGCGCCATCTTGATTGTTACCATATTTGGATAAAAGGGAGGAGCTGGGTCTGACCTCTGACCTCCAACTCTAGTTGCGTAAACACGGCCACCTACACCGGCTACTGACTACACCAAACACACAAATTAGCTGCTAACACAGTTAGCTTCCATCCTCTGGGGTACAGTTCATGTTTAATAATGTAAAAAAACAGTGGTGTCCACATATTTCAGAGTTGTAGCTGAAGTTAACATGTGAGCTAATGTTAAATAGTGTTGTGTAAAATGTTTTTTAACGGTGTGTTTTAATCTGCAGAATATGAAGAGATGTCAGTGAGCTGTTACATAATGGCTCTTGGACTGTTTGCATCTTTTCTCCATCACCATCATCAGTCTGTTAAACATTTTAAATGTAAGAGCAGCTTGTGTTCCTCCAGGCTTTGGACTTAACTTTAACAGTAAACAGATGACTACATCAAGTGCTGTGAGATTCAAATGAAATACTACTTTACTATTGTGCTTTCTCATTTCTAACATTTCTCCTGTAAATTATACTCACTAAATATTCAACACAAGAGATCATGTTATTATGTTTATTACAGTGAAGATCTTGTTTACACTTGGATAAAGTTGAAATTTGAAATTAATCACAGGCCTTTTACATTTTGGTTTCAATTAAATCATTTGATTTGATAGTTAAGATGAGTTAATACTTTGATTGTGTGTATTATGACAACATTTTATGACAATCAAAACATTAATTCACCAAAGTGTCCTGTTTGATTTATTAAAAAGTAAAGGGGTAAATTTGCAAAAACCAGGCCATTTATCTGTAGTAAATGTAAAATGTACAGTAGTTTAATCATAAATATCAGAGGTTAAGTATACACTTAATCATGTATATCTTAATACATGATTTTAAAGTGTTAACAGCAGTAAACATTTGTTGTGTTATCATCACTAAAGCTTCAGTCCTTCAGCCTCTGGTAGATTCATGGAGGTTATAAAAACATACAAAAGCATGTCAGCAGAGAGAAATAGAAAAACAATAAATGAATCAGACAGATTAGAATTAAATATCAGATAGTAGTAGAAGTAGAAATAAAGACACTGGCACCAATAAATCAAACATCAACAGCCAAGGAGAAATTGAATGTAATCATAAAAAATCAAATATAGTTAACTTACTGTGTGTTTTTCCAACACAGTCAGTATGATCTGACAGCTTCACTACATAACTACATAACTACATAACAATGTTTTACCTGATTAACTTTAGACATACAGCAGTAATCATAACACAACACTGAAAGTTAATACTTCTGTTTAACCACATGTAGAAAATACCTGAACATTTTGTTAAACTGAACTACCATCATGTCCTACGCGTTTGCAGCCCTGAGGGAACTGATAGGCCCAGCATTGCAAACCTATCAGCTAACTAGCTAGCTTGCTTAGATCGTAATTCAAATTCACTCACAGTAACTAGCATGCTAACAGTTTCCTCTTCTCCGGTTAGAACACATAGAAACACACAGTAACTTTTGTGGGGCATAAAGAACATATGTGAAGATAGAGACTGCAAAACATTGAGAGAACAAGAGTTTACTCACCGAAAAAAACGGAGAAAATCCGCTCCTCTGGGTCTATTGTTACAGAAGAATAGGCCTTAACCGGTGAACTCAAAACGAATACCAAAAGCTAAAGCAATAAGGTCCTTGCACGGTGCGAGTCCTAAAAACAGTCAAGTGTGTTGGTGTAAAAAAAATTGTGATAGCAACAGAATCATAGTAAATGTGAGAGAAGTGAGTGAACATGATGTAAATAAAGCTCCAGTTTTCCTCCATAATTCTCTGTTGTCTGGCCCGTCGCAGCTGTTGCCTGTCAATCATCCGGGAGTCTGTGTGTCAATCAAACAGACACGCCCCTAAATGTATGGCTTTTTAAGCTCTAATATCTAATTTATTGCTATATTATTTTCAGATGGACCATCAGATCTCTGATAAGAAAGGCAATATCTAGTGAACGAGACCATAAGCATTGGTGGACATTTTTTTCATGGGAGAATTTTTTTTTTTTTTAATGGCAGTCTATGGAAGCCAGAGTTTTCTTGGAGCCAGTTGAGCCAGTCCCTGCTGGATCTCTGGCGGTATTTCACTTTTAACCACCGCATAGGCTTCTTCTTTTGGAACTGGAACCTACCTCTGTTTTTATATACAGTCTATGGTTCTTAATGATAAAATGCAAAAACACAAACCTTAGGCAGTGAAGTCCTGGAGCCTGAGCTCTGTGTTGTCATGGTGAGGACAGTGGTGATACCCAGTGCCACTCTGGCCGGGGCAGCATCCATGTTGATCCAGAAGGAGACCCAGGACAGAATGACAATGAGCAGAGAAGGAATATACATCTGGATCAGATAGTACCCCATCTGTCGCTCCAGGTGGAATCGCACCTCAATACAAGTAAATTTACCTACAAAAAAGCAGAGACACAGTAAAATAACACTCACCTATTTCTTATATCTTTCTTTCTTGCAATTGGGTTTGTCTGTCTCTGATATCTAACAAAATATTAGCAGTTATTGATTTTATGGTTTTTAAAAACATGTAGCTACAAATGTTGGGTTGTATAATAAGCTAACTTTGACGCTTGGATGTCAGTGTTGTTTTTTTCCACCTACTGAAGCTGTTTTTTGTTCCCCAATGCAAAAATGTATGAAATATGGCAACCACTTAACTTTGTGAGCATGTTATCTGTGTCATGATCATTACAGCTTTGTGAGTGTGCACACCTGTGTATGTGTTACCTGTGTTGTAGTGCTTGGTGCAGTATCTGAGGTCTGATTCATCTTTAAGAATGAACTGTGGGAGCGTGAGGCCTTCGGCCACTTGAACCGATCCATTCTCCTGCCACTCAAAGATCAGGTCATTCATTGTGTAACCAACTGAAAAAAAAAACAAAAGGACATTTCATAATCAACAAAAAATAACACATTGTGCCAATGGCGGTGTTCATGGAGATACTGTCGCACTGAGGCCAGTCTACCCTCTGTTGGAGATTGAGTGACAGTGTGTGTGTTCTCTCCCTCTTATGTATTGGAATGAGTTTCCAAATATATAGATGCCTTAAAATAAAAATGTATAATGGTGTCTGTTGCCTCATATGTCATTACCCCTCTGCTGTTTATCTACTTGTCACTGTGACTTTTGAGAGTCAAATTACAGCTATCACAAAGCATTTTATCACCTCAAAAGGACCTCATGACAAAACAAGGATAGCAAAAACTGATTCAAGCTTTTATCTCCAGCAAAATTGAATACTGCAAATAACTTTTAACAGGGTTTCTTAAAAAGACAACCAGGCACTTACAACTTATCAAAAATTCCGCTGCAAGAATTTTAACCACATCTTATAAGACAGCCCAAATCACCCGTTCCACAGGGTTGATTTTAAAGTTTTATTGCTCATATTTAAATCCCTTTGTGGAGCTGCTCCCAAATACCTCACAGACATGTTATGTCAGTATAACACTGCAAGATCCTTGAGATCACTGGGTAGTGGTCTGCCCAGGGCAAGGTCTAAACATGGAGAAGCAGCTTGTGTCATGATCCTGGTGTTTAGCAGGATCATGTGTGCTCTGTGGTTTTGATCCTCCCTCTTCTGTCTCTCTGTCTTCCCTGTCTGTCGGTGTGCATGGAGGTGTGTCTGTGTGTGGGTCTGTTTATTTGTGTATGTTTGTGTGCAGGCTTGTCCCGTTTCCCACTTTTGTAGACCTTTGTTCATTCAGTACTCTGTGATCCATCTGGCTGCTCCTCCCAACCTACACACCTGCCTCTCATTATCAGAAGCAGTATAAGAACACCGGCTCTTCTCTCACACATTGACAGATTGTTGTTCTCAGGCATCAGTAGATACTCGGCCCTATCATCTTCTGAGCCAGTAAGTTTCGTTCTGTTTTTCCTGCGACTGACCACATAGTGCAGCTCTCTGCCCTTTTGCCATTTCCTGATGGCTATGTCTCCATCACAGCCACTTGATATTCAGTGCCTCCACCCATGCAAGTTTCAGCTCATTCAGCTCATAAACTATCGGTCATAATTGCAGATCAAAACAGATGGAGCGTCCTAGATTTTGGCTATTGGAGACTCAATCATCAAAAATAAACTCATCAATTGAAATTATTTATTATCTTCCTACTGTTGAATCAGCTAAATTCTGTTTACTCAATGTAAAATCATTGTGTTATGCCACTTCACTTAAAAATAACTAGTTCAAAGTTCACTTCATACAGATGAAAAGGAAAAAGGAAATCATGTAATTAGTTATTAGTTGATGGTATAGGATCATTAATCCGGATCATTTCGGTCAATTTAATACTGAGTCCTGAATGTGTGAATTTGACTCATTCCCCAGAATATTAATTTTTCCACCAGCCAAGGATGACAGGCAGAGGAGGTGGCCTTGCTGTCCTAGACAGAAATGTCAATGCCAATTTTATGTGTATTAATCTACTGTCCACCTAAATTTACCGCTGGTTTTATTCAGGAATTTTTTAGACATTTTATCTTTCAGGTTACAATATGAGTTCTTAAACCAACATTGTCGCCAGACTCTCTTAAAAAAACCCTCAAAAAGATGTGAAAACAGGTGTAGTCGCATGGGGTAGACTCTAAGATGGAGTTGAGCTTTCAGAATTCAATGCATATGCAGAGAGATCCATTCTTCATGAATGACTAATGGACTGCAGCACTACGAGTGGGAAGTCTCAATCACTCCGAGTTTGGGCATCTCTTCCACCCACTGCTGCAATTTTCCCCCAACTGTTGTGGGTAGAGATGCTAGAAAATTGGTAGTCCATCCTTTTGGGGGTAGAGAAGGTCGGAAGTTCAATCCCCAGTCTTCCCATCTGCATGCCAAAGTGTCCTTGGGCAAGATACTGAACCCCGAACTGCCCAATAGAACAACAAAAAAGTGCTAGCTATAGAAGCACTATATGTATGAATGTGTGTGTGAATGGCAAACTGTAGTGTAAAGCGCTTTGAGTGGTCATCAAGACTAGAAAAGCGCTATATAAATACAACCATTTACCATTTAAAGAGATGACGTGCTTGACAAGGGTGACTCTTCCTGTGGCAGCAGCAAAAAGGGAAGGATTAAGATTAAGATTGCTTTATTATCCCACAATCATGCACACACAGCACTACATACAAATGGGGAAATTTGGCCTCTGCTTTTAACCCATCCGTGTGATTCAGTGTCATTCACAAACTTCTGCAGTATCCTCTTCACTGTTTGATTACATCTTTCAACCAGACCATCAGTCTGTAGATGGTAGGGTGCGGTCTTGATAGCTGAGATTCCTAGTTGCTTGTGAAAGAGCTGCATGTGCCTGGAGGTGAAATTGGTTCCCTGGTCTTTAAGATCTCATCTGGAATTCCCACTCAGTGGAACAGCTGTAACAGTGCACTCAAAACTGTGGGAGCAGTGACTGTGCACGGGGGGAAGGCCTCTGGAAAACGGCTGTCATAGTCACACACAAGTCAGTAAATGTACTGGTGGCCACCACTCTTTTTCACAAAGGGGCCCACAATATTTCTGCGGAAAGGAGGGCTCATAACAGGTGGACATTTACCTTGTGTTTCTTGTGTTTGGATTTGTGTTCTATTTGATTGGTTACTGAGTTCTCTGTTTTGTTTTGAAATGTTGCTCCTTTTGTGTCTATGAAAGGATGCGTGCAGAGATGAGGGAAGGAGTGAATAGTTTTGGTTAGACTTGACCTTTTTCTTCATTTTGTTTTTATTGGGACAAAGGTGGCCTGATGGGTTGACCAGAGATTAGAGGTGTATCTGAGGCATGGCCCTGCTCCTGAACCTAAGTTAGCTAGTTAATGTAATTAAACCAGCAAGGTCATGGCCCAACTATATGTGATTCAAACTTTTGAATGAAAATTTATATATTGGAAGGGGGGACTTCTCACCCTTCATGCACTATATCAGAGTAGCCCTTGCCCAATAATAATGTCCCATTGTTTCTCAAATGATTGTTTAATGTATATGTGAAGCCATTTAACATAGTTTGCAAGTGGTTGTTATCATTTTTAAACCCAAGACAGTCTATTATTTGTGAGCTGATTTGAAGAAATCAAACTTTCCTTTAGGCTATGCACCATTGTTGCATGGTTGCCTGCTACAAGCAAACTTACAAATAACCTTACACATAGAAATAATAGCTAGTTATCTGGCTGACTTCAGTCTCCTTAATTCTGTCTGAGTACTGCTGGAAATGCATGCTTCCTCCTCATGTCTGCTGTGTGTGTGTGCGTGTGTGTGTGGCTCAGCCATACCTGAGCATAGACATGCAATGATAAAATAAAATGATATTGGTGGGATGTCTGCTTTTAATCTGATATAAATCTATTATATCATCATTATCCCAGCGCAACCAAGTCCAAGGCAGTCACCCAGGGAGTCATGCACAGCTCCCCCAAGTCTGCTTACAGTGATAATCTAGAGCAGTGATTCTCAACAGGTGGACCCATTTTCAGTGGGGCGCAGGCCTTTGCCGGGGCAATAAAAAATGTTTAAAAAAATATTAATAATCTGTGCTTTCATTTTGAAGAGGAATTTTATGCAGCGGGGTGCTGTCTTTTCACACTCCTTAACAGTAGGTGGCGATAATGCCCTGTAATGCTAATTGACACCCGCCATTTCAAAGCATAGATTATATGATGTGAAATGGCATAGAAGAAGACTTGCAAAGTTTGTTTTTAAAAGTGAATTGAACATGGTGAAACGTAAATACGACACTGAATATATTAAGTATGGATTCTCCTACATTGAGGACAACAAAGGACAAAAACCTCAGTGTGTTTTGTGCAGCGAGGTGTTGGCACAAGAAAGCATGAAGCCTTCAAAATTGAAGCGGCATCTGGAAACAAAACACACCTCTCTCAAAGATAGACCTGTTGAGTACTTTCAAAGACAACTTCAAGACCTGAGGACATCACAAAAGTGTCTCACTTCTTCGTGCTCCAAACAAGACCAGGCACTCCGTGCGTCTTACAAGGTGGCACATCGTATTGCTAAGTTAAAGAAGCCCCACACCATTACAGAGGACCTTATCTTACCTGCAGCCATGGACATGGTCAGAGAGGTGTTGAATCAATCTGCAGCGGACAAACTGAAAACTATACCTCTCTCAAATGACACTATAAGCAGGCGAATTGAAGACATTTCAAACAACAGACCACAGCTCGCATTAAGGCAAGTGGTAATTTTGCATTACAAATGGACAAATCTACAGACATATCTACACAATCTACACAAAGCGGTTTTACTCGTTTATATGAGACATGTGTGGGACGGGGAGAGAGCTCCTTACTACTACAACTGCAGAGGACATTTTCAGCTCCGTGGACTTATATTTGAGTTGAGTGGGCCTAAACTGGGACATTTGGGTCGGTATCACAACTGATGGCACTGCCTCCATGACAGGAAAAAACTTGGGGGTCTTGCGGAGAATACTTGACAGAGCTCTGAATGCGACTTGGAAGCACTATTTTTTGCATTGGGAGGCCTTGGCAGCAAAGGAGATGGTGCCAGTGCTTCATGAAACATTAAGAGATGTCGTCCAAGTGGTAAACTACATTAAACGGAGTGCAAAGAACACCCAATGTTTTCAAAAACTGTGCCAAGATCTTGGTAGTGAGCATGTACAGGTGTTGTATCATGCTGAGGTACACTGGCTTTCGAGGGGAAAGGTACTGTCCCGTTTTATGAAATACGAGATGAAATCGCAGCCTTTCTTGCCCAGAACAATTCGCCTCTCGCAGACTTGCTAAGCAACAGTGTGTGGCTCGCACACGTTGTTTATCTCGCTGATGTGTTTGAACAATTGAACACATTAAATGTGTCTATGCAGGAGAGGGGGCACAACATTTTTGAA